GACCGGGGTCCGCCGGCCCCAGCCCGCGGGGAGGAACCGGGTTGACCTGGTGGCCGCAAACTCAACGGACCCTCCAGGGCACCGGGAAAGACCGGGGTCCGCCGGCCCCAGCCGCGGGGAGGAACCGGGTTGCCTGGGAGGAAATTAAGCCCGGGGCCCCCGGCAGGGGCACCCGGGAAAGACCGTGGTTCGCCGGCCCCAGCCCGCGGGGGAGGAACCGGGTTGACCTGGTGGCCGGTTTGTCTTGGAGGTAGTTGAAAGTATAGGGTTGACTGGTGGGAAAGAAACCGGCCACCAGGTAAACCCGTTGAAAGTATAGGGTTGACCTGGTGGCCGAAAAGCGAACCGGCCACCAGGTAAACCCGTTGAAAGTATAGGGTTGACCTGGTGGCCGAAAAGGAACCGGCCACCAGGTAAACCCGTTGAAAGTATAGGGTTGACCTGGTGGCCGAAAAGCGAACCGGCCACCAGGTAAACCCGTTGAAAGTATAGGGTTGACCTGGTGGCCGAAAAGCGAACGGGCCACCAGGTCAACCCGTTGAAAGTATTAGGTTGACCTGGTGGCCGGACGGGAATTTAGCCCCGAGAACCCGCGTCTGTTCTGCCGTGGGCGGAGAGGGCCTGCCGGCGCCTGTGCGCGGGAGCACGCTCCGGGTTGACCTGGTGTCCTTACGGGAATGAAGCCCCGACCCCGTGGCAGGGGGACCCGGACGGAGCGATGTCCGTCCGGCCCCAGCTCGCGCTGCAGGCTCCGGGTTGACCTGGTGACTCCCCTGCCTCGGGTGGTCCCGATCCTTTTTTCCGTTTTTTTTGTTTTTCTTTTTTGGCCGGAGAGTGGTCGGGATGCCTCCCCGGCACCCCTTTTAAGGCCGGTGAAAAAAAAATTCAGACTTCCAGGGGCCCGATCCCTGGCCGCGGCGTTCCAGGCTGACCTGGCGGACTTCTCTGCACAGCCTCCGGTTTGACCCGGTGAGTGCCCTGCCTCGGGTGGGCCCGATCCTTTTTTCCGTTTTTTTTTTTTTTTTTTTGTGCGGAAAGTGGTCTGGATGCACCCCAGAACCCCTTTTGCGGTCGGTGAATTTTTTTTTCAGACTTCCAGGGTCTCGATCCCTGCCCACGGCATCGCAGGGTGGCCTGGGGGACTTGTATGGCGGGGGCAGGCTCCGGGTTGACCTGGTGTCCGGACGGGAAAGAAGACCCGAGTTCGGGGAAGGGGGACCCGGGCGGAGCGGGGTCCGTCCGGCCCCAGCAGGCGGGAAAAGCTCCGGGTTGACCTGGTGTCCGGACGGGAAGGAAGCCCCGAGCTCGAGGCAGGGAGACCCGGGCGGAGCGGGGTCCGTCCTTCCCCAGCCCGCGGGGGAAGCTCCGGGTTGACCTGGTGTCCGGACGGGAAAGAAGCCCCGAGCTCGAGGCAGGGAGAAGCGGGCGGAGCGGTGTCCGTCCGTCCCCAGCCCGCGAGGGAAGCTCCGGGTTGACCTGGTGACTCCCCTGCCTCGGGTGGCCCCGATCCTTTTTTCCGTTTTTTTTTTTTTCCTTTTTTGGCCGGAGCGTGGTCCGGATGCCCCCCAGAACCCGTTCTGGGGGTCGGGGAATTTTTTTAAAAAAGACTTCCAAGGGGCCCGATCAGTGGCCGCGGCTTCGCAGGCTGGCCTGGGGGAGTTCTCTGGCGGGGGCAGGCTCCGGGTTGACCTGGTGTCCGGACGGGAAGGAAGCCCCGAGTTCGGGGCAGGGGGACACGGGCGGAGCGGGGTCCGTCCGGCCCCAGCACGCGGGGAAAGCTCCGGGTTGACCTGGTGTCCGGACGGGAAAGAAGCCCCGAGCTCGAGGCAGGGAGAACCCGGGCGGAGCGGTGTCCGTCCGTCCCCAGCCCGCGAGGGAAGCTCCGGGTTGACCTGGTGACTCCCCTGCCTCGGGTGGCCCCGATCCTTTTTTCCGCTTTTTTTTTTTTTCCTTTTTTGGCCGGAGCGTGGTCCGGATGCCCCCCAGAACCCGTTCTGGGGGTCGGGGAATTTTTTTAAAAAAGACTTCCAAGGGGCCCGATCAGTGGCCGCGGCTTCGCAGGCTGGCCTGGGGGAGTTCTCTGGCGGGGGCAGGCTCCGGGTTGACCTGGTGTCCGGACGGGAAGGAAGCCCCGAGTTCGGGGCAGGGGGACACGGGCGGAGCGGGGTCCGTCCGGCCCCAGCACGCGGGGAAAGCTCCGGGTTGACCTGGTGTCCGGACGGGAAGGAAGCCCCGAGCTCGAGGCAGGGAGACCCGGGCGGAGCGGGGTCCGTCCGTCCCCAGCCCGCGGGGGAAGCTCCGGGTTGACCTGGTGACTCCCCTGCCTCGGGTGGCCCCGATCCTTTTTTCCGCTTTTTTTTTTTTCCTTTTTTGGCCGGAGCGTGGTCCGGATGCCCCCCAGAACCCGTTCTGGGGGTCGGGGAATTTTTTTAAAAAAGACTTCCAAGGGGCCCGATCAGTGGCCGCGGCGTCGCAGGCTGGCCTGGGGGAGTTCTCTGGCGGGGGCAGGCTCCGGGTTGACCTGGTGTCCGGACGGGAAGGAAGCCCGAGTTCGGGGCAGGGGGACACGGGCGGAGCGGGGTCCGTCCGGCCCCAGCACGCGGGGAAAGCTCCGGGTTGACCTGGTGTCCGGACGGGAAGGAAGCCCCGAGCTCGAGGCTGGGAGACCCGGGCGGAGCGGGGTCCGTCCGTCCCCAGCCCGCGGGGGAAGCTCCGGGTTGACCTGGTGACTCCCCTGCCTCGGGTGGCCCCGATCCTTTTTTCCGCTTTTTTTTTTTTTTCCTTTTTTGGCCGGAGCGTGGTCCGGATGCCCCCCAGAACCCTTTCTGGGGGTCGGGGAAATTTTTTAAAAAAGACTTCCAGGGGCCCGATCAGTGGCCGCGGCGTCGCAGGCTGGCCTGGGGGAGTTCTCTGGCGGGGGCAGGCTCCGGGTTGACCCGGTGTCCGGACGGGAAGGAAGCCACGAGCACGAGGCAGGGAGACCCGGGCGGAGCGGGGTCCGTCCGTCCCCAGCCCGCGGGGGAAGCTCCGGGTTGACCTGGTGTCCGGACGGGAAGGAAGCCCCGAGCTCGAGGCAGGGAGACCCGGGCGGAGCGGGGTCCGTCCGTCCCCAGCCCGCGGGGGAAGCTCCGGGTTGACCTGGTGACTCCCCTGCCTCGGGTGGCCCCGATCCTTTTTTCCGCTTTTTTTTTTTTTTCCTTTTTTGGCCGGAGCGTGGTCCGGATGCCCCCCAGAACCCGTTCTGGGGGTCGGGGAATTTTTTTTAAAAAGACTTCCAAGGGGCCCGATCAGTGGCCGCGGCTTCGCAGGCTGGCCTGGGGGAGTTCTCTGGCGGGGGCAGGCTCCGGGTTGACCTGGTGTCCGGACGGGAAGGAAGCCCCGAGTTCGGGGCAGGGGGACACGGGCGGAGCGGGGTCCGTCCGGCCCCAGCACGCGGGGAAAGCTCCGGGTTGACCTGGTGTCCGGACGGGAAAGAAGCCCCGAGCTCGAGGCAGGGAGAAGCGGGCGGAGCGGTGTCCGTCCGTCCCCAGCCCGCGAGGGAAGCTCCGGGTTGACCTGGTGACTCCCCTGCCTCGGGTGGCCCCGATCCTTTTTTCCTTTTTTTTTTTTTTCCTTTTTTGGCCGGAGCGTGGTCCGGATGCCCCCAGAACCCGTTCTGGGGGTCGGGGAATTTTTTTAAAAAAGACTTCCAAGGGGCCCGATCAGTGGCCGCGGCTTCGCAGGCTGGCCTGGGGGAGTTCTCTGGCGGGGGCAGGCTCCGGGTTGACCTGGTGTCCGGACGGGAAGGAAGCCCCGAGTTCGGGGCAGGGGGACACGGGCGGAGCGGGGTCCGTCCGGCCCCAGCACGCGGGGAAAGCTCCGGGTTGACCTGGTGTCCGGACGGGAAGGAAGCCCCGAGCTCGAGGCAGGGAGACACGGGCGGAGCGGGGTCCGTCCGTCCCCAGCCCGCGGGGGAAGCTCCGGGTTGACCTGGTGACTCCCCTGCCTCGGGTGGCCCCGATCCTTTTTTCCGCTTTTTTTTTTTTTTCCTTTTTTGGCCGGAGCGTGGTCCGGATGCCCCCCAGAACCCGTTCTGGGGGTCGGGGAATTTTTTTAAAAAAGACTTCCAAGGGGCCCGATCAGTGGCCGCGGCTTCGCAGGCTGGCCTGGGGGAGTTCTCTGGCGGGGGCAGGCTCCGGGTTGACCTGGTGTCCGGACGGGAAGGAAGCCCCGAGTTCGGGGCAGGGGGACACGGGCGGAGCGGGGTCCGTCCGGCCCCAGCACGCGGGGAAAGCTCCGGGTTGACCTGGTGTCCGGACGGGAAAGAAGCCCCGAGCTCGAGGCAGGGAGAAGCGGGCGGAGCGGTGTCCGTCCGTCCCCAGCCCGCGAGGGAAGCTCCGGGTTGACCTGGTGACTCCCCTGCCTCGGGTGGCCCCGATCCTTTTTTTTTTTTTTTTTTTTTTTCCTTTTTTGGCCGGAGCGTGGTCCGGATGCCCCCCAGAACCCGTTCTGGGGGTCGGGGAATTTTTTTAAAAAAGACTTCCAAGGGGCCCGATCAGTGGCCGCGGCTTCGCAGGCTGGCCTGGGGGAGTTCTCTGGCGGGGGCAGGCTCCGGGTTGACCTGGTGTCCGGACGGGAAGGAAGCCCCGAGTTCGGGGCAGGGGGACACGGGCGGAGCGGGGTCCGTCCGGCCCCAGCACGCGGGGAAAGCTCCGTGTTGACCTGGTGTCCGGACGGGAAGGAAGCCCCGAGCTCGAGGCAGGGAGACCCGGGCGGAGCGGGGTCCGTCCGTCCCCAGCCCGCGGGGGAAGCTCCGGGTTGACCTGGTGACTCCCCTGCCTCGGGTGGCCCCGATCCTTTTTTCCGCTTTTTTTTTTTTTTCCTTTTTTGGACGGAGCGTGATCCGGATGCCCCCCAGAACCCGTTCTGGGGGTCGGGGAATTTTTTTTAAAAAGACTTCCAAGGGGCCCGATCAGTGGCCGCGGCTTCGCAGGCTGGCCTGGGGGAGTTCTCTGGCGGGGGCAGGCTCCGGGTTGACCTGGTGTCCGGACGGGAAGGAAGCCCCGAGCTCGAGGCAGGGAGACCCGGGCGGAGCGGGGTCCGTCCGTCCCCAGCCCGCGAGGGAAGCTCCGGGTTGACCTGGTGACTCCCCTGCCTCGGGTGGCCCCGATCCTTTTTTCCGTTTTTTTTTTTTTCCTTTTTTGGCCGGAGCGTGGTCCGGATGCCCCCCAGAACCCTTTCTGGGGGTCGGGGAAATTTTTAAAAAAAGACTTCCAGGGGCCCGATCAGTGGCCGCGGCGTCGCAGGCTGGCCTGGGGGAGTTCTCTGGCGGGGGCAGGCTCCGGGTTGACCCGGTGTCCGGACGGGAAGGAAGCCCCGAGCTCGAGGCTGGGAGACCCGGGCGGAGCGGGGTCCGTCCGTCCCCAGCCCGCGGGGGAAGCTCCGGGTTGACCTGGTGACTCCCCTGCCTCGGGTGGCCCCGATCCTTTTTTCCGCTTTTTTTTTTTTTTCCTTTTTTGGCCGGAGCGTGGTCCGGATGCCCCCCAGAACCCTTTCTGGGGGTCGGGGAAATTTTTTAAAAAAGACTTCCAGGGGCCCGATCAGTGGCCGCGGCGTCGCAGGGTGGCCTGGGGGAGTTCTCTGGCGGGGGCAGGCTCCGGGTTGACCCGGTGTCCGGACGGGAAGGAAGCCCCGAGCTCGAGGCTGGGAGACCCGGGCGGAGCGGGGTCCGTCCGTCCCCAGCCCGCGGTGGAAGCTCCGGGTTGACCTGGTGACTCCCCTGCCTCGGGTGGCCCCGATCCTTTTTTCCGCTTTTTTTTTTTTTTTCCTTTTTTGGCCGGAGCGTGGTCCGGATGCCCCCCAGAACCCTTTCTGGGGGTCGGGGAAATTTTTTAAAAAAGACTTCCAGGGGCCCGATCAGTGGCCGCGGCGTCGCAGGCTGGCCTGGGGGAGTTCTCTGGAGGTGGAAGGCTCCGGGTTGACCCGGTGTCCGGACGGGAAGGAAGCCCCGAGCTCGAGGCTGGGAGACCCGGGCGGAGCGGGGTCCGTCCGTCCCCAGCCCGCGGGGGAAGCTCCGGGTTGACCTGGTGACTCCCCTGCCTCGGGTGGCCCCGATCCTTTTTTCCGCTTTTTTTTTTTTTTTCCTTTTTTGGCCGGAGCGTGGTCCGGATGCCCCCCAGAACCCTTTCTGGGGGTCGGGGAAATTTTTTAAAAAAGACTTCCAGGGGCCCGATCAGTGGCCGCGGCGTCGCAGGCTGGCCTGGGGGAGTTCTCTGGCGGGGGCAGGCTCCGGGTTGACCCGGTGTGCGGACGGGAAGGAAGCCCCGAGCTCGAGGCTGGGAGACCCGGGCGGAGCGGGGTCCGTCCGTCCCCAGCCCGCGGGGGAAGCTCCGGGTTGACCTGGTGACTCCCCTGCCTCGGGTGGCCCCGATCCTTTTTTCCTTTTTTTTTTTTTTTCCTTTTTTGGCCGGAGCGTGGTCCGGATGCCCCCCAGAACCCTTTCTGGGGGTCGGGGAAATTTTTTAAAAAAGACTTCCAGGGGCCCGATCAGTGGCCGCGGCGTCGCAGGCTGGCCTGGGGGAGTTCTCTGGCGGGGGCAGGCTCCGGGTTGACCCGGTGTGCGGACGGGAAGGAAGCCCCGAGCTCGAGGCAGGGAGACCCGGGCGGAGCGGGGTCCGTCCGTCCCCAGCCCGCGGGGGAAGCTCCGGGTTGACCTGGTGACTCCCCTGCCTCGGGTGGGCCCGATCCTTTTTTCCGCTTTTTTTTTTTTTTTCCTTTTTTGGCCGGAGCGTGGTCCGGATGCCCCCCAGAACCCTTTCTGGGGGTCGGGGAAATTTTTTAAAAAAGACTTCCAGGGGCCCGATCAGTGGCCGCGGCGTCGCAGGCTGGCCTGGGGGAGTTCTCTGGCGGGGGCAGGCTCCGGGTTGACCCGGTGTGCGGACGGGAAGGAAGCCCCGAGCTCGAGGCAGGGAGACCCGGGCGGAGCGGGGTCCGTCCGTCCCAGCCCGCGGAGGAAGCTCCGGGTTGACCTGGTGACTCCCGTGCCTCGGGTGGGCCCGATCCTTTTTTCCGGTTTTTTTTTTTTTTCCTTTTTTGGCCGGAGCGTGGTCCGGATGTCCCCCCAGAACCCTTTCTGGGGTCGGTGAAAATTTTTTTTCCGACTTCCAGGGGCCCGATCCACGGCCGGGGCGTCGCAGGCTGGCCTGTTGGCCTTCTCCCGTTCCAGCCGCGGATGGCGAGGCGCTCGGCCACCAGGTCAACCCGGAGGAAAAAACGGCTGAAAAAATGTCTAAGTCCCTGCTCGGCCACCAGGTCAACCCGGAGGAAAAAACGGCTGAAAAAATGTCTAAGTCCCTGCTCGGCCACCAGGTCAACCCGGAGGAAAAAACGGCTGAAAAAATGTCTAAGTCCCTGCTCGGCCACCAGGTCAACCCGGAGGAAAAAACGGCTGAAAAAATGTCTAAGTCCCTGCTCGGCCACCAGGTCAACCCGGAGGAAAAAACGGCTGAAAAAATGTCTAAG